TCTGCAGAAGAGAAGAATGAGGGGGGGATTTGATAGCTGCTTTCAACTACCTGAAAGGGGATTCCAAAGAGGATGGCTCTAGACTGTTCTCAATGGTAGCAGATGACAGAATGAGGAGTAATTGTCTCAAGTTGCAGTGGGGAGGTTTAGGTTGGATATTAGGAAAAACTTTTTCACTAAGAGGGTGGTGAAACACTGGAATGCGTTTCCTAGGGAGGTGGTAGAATCTCCTTCCTTAGAGGTTTTTAAGGTCAGGCTTGACAAAGCCCTGGCTGGGATGATTTAACTGGGAATTGGTCCTGCTTCGAGCAGGGCGTTGGACTAGATGACCTTGGACTAGATGACCCTGATATTCTATGATTCTATGATTCTAATAGCCAGTAATCGACCTATTCTTTTTTTAACCTATTTATAATTTGGCCTTCACAACATCTCCAGGCAAGGAGTTCAACAGGTTGACTGTGAATTGTGTGAAAACGTCTTTAATTTCATCGTGTGACCCCTAGTTTGTATGTTTTGTGAAGGTATAAATAACATTTCATTATTCACTTTCTCCACACTATTTATGATTTTATAGACCTCTATCATATACCCCCCGTTTTCTCTTTTCTAAACTGAACAGTCCCAGTCTTTTTAATCTCTCCTCATAAAAACTGTTCCATACTCCTAATCATTTTTGTGCCCTTCTCTCTACTTTGTGTCCCTTTATTGAACATGTAACTAGCAGGTGGACAGGACTGTCACTGGGCATCGCTTAACACTGGGGACATAAGGTTTCCCGCCAAAGACACGTGGTGTCAGCTGAGGGCTCGGCCTTGGGCCAGGGAATAGAATCATAGAATATCAGGGTTGGAAGGGACCTCAGGAGGTCATCTAGTCCAACCCCCTACTCAAAGCAGGACCAATCCCCAATTAAATCATCCCAGCCAGGGCTTTGTCAAGCCTGACCTTAAAAACTTCTAAGGAAGGAGATTCTACCACCTCCCTAGGCAACGCATTCCAGTGTTTCACCAACCTCCTAGTGAAAAAATTTTTCCTAATATCCAACCTAAATCTCCCCCACTGCAACTTGAGACCATTACTCCTTGTCCTGTCCTCTTCCACCACCAAGAATAGTCTAGAACCATCCTGTCTGGAACCACCTCTCAGGTAGTTGAAAGCAGCTATCAAATCCCCCCTCATTCTTCTCTTCTGCAGACTAAACAATCCCAGTTCCCTCAGCCTCTCCTCATAAGTCATGTGCTCCAGTCCCCTAATCATTTTGTTGCCCTCCGCTGGACTCTTTCCAATTTTTCCACATCCTTCTTGTAGTGTGGGGCCCAAAACTGGACACAGTACTCCAGATGAGGCCTCACCAGTGTCGAATAGAGGGGAACGATCACGTCCTTCGATCTGCTGGCAGTGCCCCTACTTATACATCCCAAAATGCCATTGGCCTTCTTAGCAACAAGGGCACACTGTTGATTCATATCCAGCTTCTCGTCCACTGTCACCCCTAGGTCCTTTTCTGCAGAACGGCTGCTGAGCCATTCAATCCCTAGTCTGTAGCTGTGCATTGGGTTCTTCTGTCCTAAGTGCAGGACCCTGCACTTATCCTTGTTGAACCTCATCAGATTTCTTTTGGCCCAATCCTCCAATTTGTCTAGGTCCCTCTGTATCCTATCCCTGCCCTCCAGCGTATCTACCACTCCTCCCAGTTTAGTATCATCCGCAATAGGTGGGTCCTAGGAGCAGGGCCCTGTATTTAACTGTCGCTGGCTGGGGAGCCCCCACACCCTACCCCAGCGGGGCCGGGCCTGGCCCCCCAGCGGCCCAGGGAGACGCACGGGTCGCGCGCAGCTGGACGGACCGCACCATGCACCAGGCCAGCACAGCCGCCAGACCCCGAGGGAGGGAGAAGTGGGGGGGAACTGCCCGCCCCCAGGTGCCCCGACCTGTAGAAATCGCGAGGAACCAGCCAATCAGATCTGGGACCGCTGCCCAGACTCGCATCCTGTCAGCACGTGACGCAACGCGAGCTCCTCGTCCGCCCGCTCCCCCAGCGCGAGCCCGTAACCGCCAGCTCAGCCCGCGGCATCCCTAGCAGCGGGGGGCTGCGCGCGCGCGCGCCACCTCCCCCACTAGCATCGTCACCTCGTCCAGGTCCACGTAAGGCCCTGCGCCCTCAGGGAACATCTCGTCCACTGCTGGCTTCATCGGCTCGTTAGGTCCCCGGCTCGCGAAGGGCCCCGGTCGGCACCGCCTTCCCCCTGGGAACCACTTCCGATCTGAGCTCAACCCGCCAGCTTCCGGTGTCAGGCGAGTCTGCGCAGCTCCACTCTCATGGCCCTTCTGGAAGCCAGGAGGACCGATCGCTCTATGATGCCGGGGAGCCCTGAGGCGCCGCCCTGGTTGCCGCTGTAGCTCTCCCCGCCCCTTAGGACTACCTGGCTCTCCTGGGGAGAGCGGAGGGCTCCTACCCTCTGAGAGAAGCACAGCTCAGGGCTGTGTTGGCCCGAGTTGGGGCAGAGTCACCCTGCTCCCTGCAAGGCACAAGCCATGGCCAGTCTCGGCACTTGGTGAGTGCTTATGCGACACAGAATTTCCCATGACCCTTTGCAGCGGGGCTCGGGCGCCCCCTGCGCATCACCTGGGAGAGTTGCTGGCAAGGGCTGCCCTTGCTAGATCCACACTTCCCTCCTGGGTCATCAGGCCAGAACCAGAGCCTAATTCCTGCCACTTCTTAGTTCTGTGATCATGTATAAGATTGGAAGCCGTGTTGTGATCTGCTCAGTCTCAGCTGATGAAGGACCGACAGTCTACGCAGTCTTGGTTAATCGTCTGCCCACCAGCATCAGGGTTAGAACAAATCCTCCCTTCACATTCAGCAGAAGAGCAACAGCAACATTTTCAAAAGCACCAAAGTGATTTAGGCCTTCTTGGCACACCAAAGCTGTAGCTTGCACCCTCATTAGGGGCTGGGCTGATATACCTATGCAGGGGAAAAGATCACATCCCTAACTGACATAGTTATATGGGTACAAAATCTGCATATAGACCAGACTTGAGGAGCTGGAGTCCCATTTTCAAAAGTGACTGAGACATTTAGGTCCCAAAGATGTTCAGTGACACATAGATTCCTTAAGTGCCTAGGTCACTTTTGAAAATGGGCCTTTATCTTCTAAGAGTACATCTACACTAAGAGTACATCTACACTTGCTACAGTGACAGAAGGGGTTTTTCCATCACTATACTAAATTCACGTCCTCAAAAGTCGGCAGCTAGGTCGATGGGCTGTCACAGACTTCCTGTGTGACGTTGAATGAAGTACTTAGTCTTTCTGTTCCTCATCTATAAAATGGGAATAATAGCACTTCACTACCTCATGGGGTTTAGTAGGGATACATACACTAATGATTGTGAGACACCAAGATGCTACAGTAATGGATGCTATATAAAGACCTAAAGTAGGTAGGGTAAACCTTATTGTTGAACTACCATAAGTAATTTGCTGTGCTAGGCAGCTTCTGTTTAGGGGAGACTTATACTGTGATATTCTGGTGACAGAGGTTCTGTTTTTCCATTGCCCTGTAACTTTGTCAAGTCATTTACACCTGTTCAGGATGGTTGTAAAAGGTAACCAAATCAGAATGGTAGCACTTTGTGTCCATTCTGCCCAGGTGTAAATGACTACACAAGGTGCAAAACATTAGAGAACCAAGCCCTAAACTGTCTTTTGCCTCTAGAAAGGTTATTCTCAGTTTGTAGCTGCTAGAGTGGAGCACTAATGCAAAGATAAGCAGAAGACTGGTTCAACTAGTGGTGAGACTGTCTTCAAAACAGCATTTATGAAAAAAAAACATTAATAGAAAAAGGAAGGGGATAAAGATGAATAAGAAATATAGACAGAAAGCACTCAAAATCCCTTTGGGTTCCAGTCACCTGCAAGGCTGCCTCCCTCTCTAGCTGCCAATATGACATTTGAGATTAATGGAGGCTCTTGAACTAACAGTCCTAGACTGTCCATTCTGCTAAGGCCATTGCTATGCAGTACAAAGTGGCTTTGACTTGGCTCGAGATTCCTTGCAGAGCATTTCCCCTGTGTAGGGGGGCTCTCTGCTTGTGTACAGCAAATGAAGGAAGTGTATCTGTGTAACAAAGTGGGAATAGCCTTGGGCTAGCTCCCACTCTGCACACTTTATAAGCACTCTTGCAAGGGCCAAATTGGGAGATAATTTATTAGGACTGGGTGATTAACCAGTTAACAGCAATCAACTCATCAGCTGGGGACTGTTAAATAGGAGACAGGAAGGGTGACAGCAGGGCTGAAACTGGATGAAAGACAAAGAAGTCCAGAGAAATGAGATCTCTATCCCCACCCTCTCATGCTGTGCCTAGAGAATACACTGACTTGAGAAAAGCCTTATGGTGATGGGATATGAAGCTACCTAAAATGTCGTCAAAAGTGTATACTGTGAATTTATGTAAGACTATGTGCCAACTGCTTACAAAGAGAAATCTAGGGTGAGGAAACACAGCCTGTGATAATCCCTCCCACCTGTGCCAAGTGTTCCCTGCCCAACATTTGGTCCTCTGCTGGTGTAAAGGACTTTATGCCATCAGTAGCAACAGCATAAATTAGAGTGGGATCTCTTTTGTACTAACTTGCACTGAATGAGGGAGCCAAAATCAACTGCAGTGTTATACTCAGACATGATGGAGAATTGGGACCACAAATTCTCAATTTAAAAGTCAGGGAGCAGGTGGCAAAGCATTGTCAGTGGAGGGCCCTTGGTGTGGAATTCTGTGTCCAAACTGGGTTATCAGAACCCAAATCTACTGGTCAACAATACTAAGGCTAATCTCTTCTCTTGGCTTTTGCAGAAAGTGAGTGATTATGGGGTTGGAGGATTCTTATGGTGATTTGGGTCAACAAGTTTTTGATATGTTTTGGTCAAAGTCCAGAGACTACCCAATGGGCACTTTTATACATTTTAAAATACAAACAGCCAAAACCAGGATTGAAATCAATGAATTATTTATTTTTGCACAAAAGAATACACTGTATTGAAAGGAAAAGCCGGACTAATTGTCTGCCATTTTACAAACATGGAAACGCTATACAATATAAGGATACTCAAATGTTTGAAAACATTGAAACAACATAACAGACTGAATGGGCAATTCTGGCAAGTTTACTGGCAGCAGTAAATTTCTTTAAAAGTCTCAGCACTAACTTTAGCAAAATGAGAAAAATCATTAGTGCTCATGATAGGGAACATCATAACCAAGGTTATTTCCAAAAGGGTATTGAGCAAACAGGGTTCTGGCCATTTCGTTGATTCTGTTGTATGCTCCCAGAGTCCGGAAATACTCCACGTACGACCAAAAATCACTGGACCAGAAAGGCCAGTATGGCAGGGCTGCAGGTTCCTGATACGGGTCTACAATAAAAATTGCAGAATTAGATTAACATAACATGAAATGTGTTGGTTAGAGCATGACCGGGAGCCTAGACTCCTGGGTTCTAGTGCTAGGCCTCGCTATGGAGCAGGTCGCTCACCCTCACTCAGGCCCTGATTCTCTCTAGGGCTATGGCCCTTTATGCCCCCAAGTGGTTCTCTGGCTGGCAGACAGCCAATGTAAAAGCTCTACACTACCAACTCCTTTGCCCCTGGTGCAGGGGGGATGATAGGCAGAGCAGGGAGGGGGCAAAAGAAGGCATGGTCAAAGTACACTATGATCTGGTATAATGGCCCACAGAGAGCTGTTAGAAGCTGGCACAACTTAGAACTGGGGCTGTTCTACTTTGTGCTGTGGGCTGATTGGGGACTAGGCCTAGTCCAAAATTAGGTCAGCCAAAGGTGGCTTTAAGTCACCTTTGCCATCGTCCGCCACCACTTTTCGTCTGCCTGGGACAGGAAAGGAATACCATTGTTAAGGTATAATCCTTGTGAACTATTTTACAGGGGTGTTGAGGTGCTTACCCACTTCGTGATTATAAAGTAAAGTACTGCTATTATTAAGCTAGCTAGAAGTACTCCAAATTGAGTAGGGTGTAACTGAAAATGCTGTGCTCAATATTAGGACATTTCATAGAGAAATGAAATCAGTGGGAGCTTTGCATGAAAATTGATGGCATTGTATGGCTTTATACAGCAAAGCCTTCCAAGACCCTCCCACCTTGAATAATTATTCTGCAAATAAATATGGCTTCTCCTATACACACTGCAAACGATTTCAGTGGAATATTTTTCAGTAGTGCCCTGTCCTTCCTGCTTGGATGCCAGCCAAGTTTGATTCTTGCTGTCAGCTAAGAGGATCCCAAACTGGAACCCTTTCCCCCTAAACGATGTGAATAGCAGATAACTCTTCTATACTTTTCCATGATAACATTATTAACATTTATTTGGCTGCAGCTTCCTGCATGGTACAGGCCACATCCTGAGACTTCTCAGACACAGTGGGAGTAGCAGCAGACCCACTCTGAGAGCTGATCGTGCAAGTGGATCCATGCTGGTTGACTCTTGCATCAATAGGGCTCTGCTGGGGAAGCATGGGGGGGAAGGCTTCAAATATCAGGATTGGGGTCTAAGGTGCCTTGCGGAAGTCTGAAGCCTCAGAATTATGTCTCTTCTCTTCCACAGAGATGGAAAAAGAGATCCAAACAGGAAATGTCCAACAGTCGCAGACACTCTGCACTTGGCAGACAGCCAGGTTTTGGCTTTGTTTTTAAAGAGGATGTAAAAAATAATCTGGATTTGAGTTGCCAATTCATTGAGCTCAGGGCCTGATGCTGCCATGTTCTGAGCACCCTTGGGGCTTGATCCAGCAAATCACTTCTGCATATGTGGAACTTAGCTGAAGAAGTACTTACAAATGTAAAGTCACATGTGTGCTTCAGTGCTTTGCTGGATGAAAACCTCTGCTCCCCTAGTGTTTGGGCTATGTCCAAACCCCACTGAAGTCAGTGGTAAGTGTTTCTATTGACTTTGATGAACTTCAGATCAGACCCTTTAGTGGGAACTAGCGGTTCACTGCAGTCCGGGATCAGGCCCTAATTTCATAAAATAGAATAGAATTTGCAGTGCATAGTCACAGATGGTAACAAAACAAAATCAAACGAATTAGCCACTGTTGTCTGTAGAATAGAGTTCACTGCTTGTATTAGCTGATCTCCAGGTTCATGCTGAAGTCTGCTCCTTGGCACAATGTGAAACAAAAACACATCTGCTGATGAGAGCTGTAAAATATTAACCCAACTAGGTTTTTATATGGTAAAATACACACCAAGAAGAGATGTGTGGTTATTTAATTGTGATGTTGCATCAAAAATTATTTCCTGTGTTCAAATAAAATATTGCACACACCTTAAATTTGTTAAAGCACAGGAAAAATTATCAAAAAAATTGAGTTGTGAGGTGTAATTAAAGCAAGCCAATGAGGCTTGTTGCATGGAGTTAAAAAAAATGTTTGTTTTCAATTAACATACAGTCAAATTCTTTCCATGCCACCCCCACATTGTCCGCCTAGATTCATGTTGTGATGGGCACTGCTGTTTCCAGTGGAATGTTACGTTACTGGATATCAGCAGATCCAAGACAGTCTTCACTCTCATGCCAACACACATCTGAGTGAACGTGGTGTAGTGTTTGTGTCCATCATTTTTCTAGCAGTGCTTGAAAAATTGTCTAGCATTGCTGCTCTTTACTCTCAATAAGAATTTAAGCAAATATATGGTCAACACAATTTCCCCGTGCTGTTTTCAGAAATAACTAGCTAACATCCAAAGCACCAAAACCTATCAATAAGGCAATTGAAATGTTGTTAGGATGACTTTTTGAAAGCAAAGGCAAACATTGCATACTATGGGCCAGATCCTCAGCTGACGTAAATCTGCATAGCTCCATAGACTATACTGATATTTACCAGCTGAGGATGTGTTCCTATTTTTTTAAAATTGGCTTTCTGGTCATTTGTAGATTGAAAGCTTTTTGTCCTGGAAGTTGGGATTTTTTGCCAATAAGTAGACATGCATCCTGAGGTTCCAGCAAGCCCAATATATTTAAAAGTCTGGTATTTCTTAACTTTTGATAGCACTGTTAAACACATAGTTTGGTGATCATCTAAAGACATGCCTTAGCTATCAGTTTTACTGTTTTTATTTTAACTTTGCTAACACATCCTCTCTCTTTGTAATATGCAAAAAAAAAGTTTATATTTTTAATCAATTGCCTAGCAGCACTTCATGTATTTATTTATTTACTTCTTATTTCATACTTTATCAGCAGCAGATGAAACCATTTATATCAGGGCCTGATCCAAAGCCCATTGAGTCAATGGGAGTCTCCCCACTGACTATAATGTATTTTGGATTGGGCCCGCCAGTTACAAGTGGCTCTTCCAATTTTTAGGGGGCAGAGAGGGAGAAAAAGTCTGAAAAGCATTACCGTCTTCATCCTGTACTGGCCGGGCATCTGTAAATAAATAAGAAATAATCAGTAGCAGGTCTCAGAAGGGTTTGCAGTGTACAAAGAGGTGCTGTGTAGCCCAGAAGCTGACCAGCTCTGCAATGCATTGATAGGAGCCTACTGTCAGCTGAACTTCTGTGTTTGAAACAGCTGAATAAAGAATTCCCTGTTTCCAGTCACTCCATGGTACAATTTGAATACTGTTTGCTAATAATGAAGGCAATTGTGACTGGTGTATGAATAACATTTGATATCAAATGCAAATCAACAGATCTAGATTAAAATATTTAAGGCAGATGAAAAAAATAAAGGATAAATATAAAAGTTAACTTACCTGTTAATGGATTCATCAGCATGCAGAGGGAAATTAAGCCAATAAAGATAAACCTCATGGTCTCTGCAAATTATTATTTCTGTTTCTGAAATATAATCTATAAAATGAAATAGAGCAGAATATATCTAAATATCTTTTTTTTTCTTCTATACAAAAAAGGTTGGAATCATCTATTTTTCACTAAAGTAACAATAAGATTTTTATAACATTTCCAGGTGTCTCTAACCCTCCAACTGCTAGAAGCACTTGGCACTAGCCACTGCCAGAGACAGGATATTGGGTCTGAGGGACCATTGTTTTGACCGAGCATGGCTGTTCTTATAAAAATTGTTAATTGCAAAAAACTTTCAGTATATTAAAAGAACTGAAGTACTAAGGTTTGATGTTCTTCTGGATTAAAAAAAATTAATAAAAGTTCACCCGCATTGACGTGAAATTAAATGTCTTGGAAATATTTTGTTTTGTAGCTACTTTAGTTTCATTTTAGAAATTACCCTTTTCCCCACCTTTCTCTTAAGTGAGTAGAGGTCTGTAGCTCTGAGTCAGCTGCAAACATCTGAATGGGCTTCTCTTGCTGTAAAATAAACAACCGTTTAGAGAAGGGTGGGGAATAGGGAAAGGAACGTCACTTACTTAATACACCAATCTGATTTTTTCAGCCTAATCTAAAAGTGTGTAGCTGCACACATCTATAATATATTGCAGCGCCATCCATGGTCAGAAATGTCTAGATAAACTGGGAATAAAATTCCTATAGTATAAAACTAGAGAAAAAAAATCCAGCAGCTAATTCAATAATTGCTGCTTACAATATCTCTCTAATTTTTCTCTATAGGAAAAGGTCTTCTCCAAAATAGGTTATTTTGGTTGGCATTTGTTGTAAATTTTGAGGTAACAGTATGTGTGTGTGGGAAAATCTGCTTACAATTACTCAATAGTTCAAGCAAATAAAATCTGTAGTAGTGATTTAAAAATAAATGTAACACTACGGAAATTGTCTGTCACTTTCATAAGAGTAGGTTACTTGCTTAGCTCATGTTATCACTTAAAGAGACAGGTTGACTTCAGTCTTCTGAGTGGGACCCAAAGAAAACCAGGTGTCCAACAATTTGGATGTTGTACTGTTGGTTGTGGTCCCCAAGTAACTGTCCTAAGGGACTGGGTATTATGATCTTCAGACAAGGCTCAGTGGGACCCATTAAAGTGCATTCAGCTATTTACATTTATTTCCCAAAGGAGAGGGGCTGGTTTCCATGGGCAAATGGGTACTGTGGATTCACTTCTATGCAGGCTGCTGAGCAATATGCCCAGGACTTTAAAATCCCTAGGAGAAGGAGACAGGTCATTAGCATTGGTCATTTGATTTGTACGTCACTTTCCCTTTTTTGTATATATAAAACTCATGCTGACAACAGGTGCCTCTGTGGGATAAACACTAGCAAAAGGAGGGTGGGGAAGGCTACACACTCGATCTTGGGCCTAGTGTGTGTGGGCACAATCAAATGGCTTTGCAGGGGGCCCCCGCTTTGCTCAGATGGATCTTGCTACTGGAACTCATCCCCGTCTATGTACAGCATTAAGTTATTCCTGCCGGGAATGATTCTGTGGTCTTTGCAACAGGGTGACTTGCCCTGTAAGTAAGGGCTGGAGGGCCTGGGCCTAGCCGACATGGATTACTGAAAGAGGCGCATCTGAGAGAATCAGGTAATTTCCCTTCTGAAGAGCAGCTGGAAGCGACAGTGAGGGGGAATTTTCTTTGCAACATCTATCAAGAATCCAAGGAAAAGGTGCAAGACTCTGAGTCATCACCAAGACACAAAGCACAGTGCACGGCGGTCATAGACTGTATCTAGAAGTGAGTCTGCTATGCCACAAAGCCCAAGAAGAAGAAGAAGAAGGGTGCTCCAGAATGACCTCCGGCCATGAGAATGCACATGGGTGCTGGCTGACCCTGTTACAGCCTTGACTCACAAAGGCACCTCTGAAAGGAAAAATCTCTGTGGCTTTAGAATACACCAAGCAGTTCCAAATATTGTGGATCTTGAAAAACAATCCTGAGGTAGAAGGCCCCCAATACACCCTATAAAGACATTCATCCTCTTTTTTAGTGGCCCTAAACCCAACAGATCCAGCCCTCAGGTGATCTCTCCTACATAGCAGCATCCTCAGGTGGCTGGGAGCTGCTGGAGTGGCTCCTGTGTTACTCGCTTTCTCCCTGTGGCCAGCATAGAGGACATGACTGAAAAGGGAGTATGGCCAGAGCATTGTGGTTCGTTGTGATCCCTGATTCCCACAATGGCACCTTCAGTGCAACAGTGCCCTTTCTCACTTGTTCAGCTCTGCAGATGTGGGTCCATAAATTCAACACATTCGGTAAACCCACAGATGATAATGCTTTTCCTTTTGCCACCCAGTCAGTGTATTGCACTAGCAGAAGCCACTAGCAGCTCTGACATATACTAATGCACCCTTGGAGTCAATAAGATTTGAAATTTGTAGTTCTAATTAAATAAATAGCATAAATATAGCCCTGTGATGGGGTATGTACCCCCACACCAGCATGGAAGGGGTTAAACCCAGGAGGGAGCAGTGGAGGTGAGTCCTCTGAGCAGCCTAGAGTGGCTGAACGGTCTGCAACCTATCAGAGAGGGGTTGCAGGGACCAACCATTTCGGGCTCAGCAGAGCTCATGTGAAAAAAAGGAGCTGCAGGGGCAGAGCCAGGCAGTTGTGGCCTGGGGCTCCAGGGGTAAGGGCTGGCTTCCTAGCTGGTAAAAGAGATGCTAGCACCATGGACAGAGCAGTTGCTGGCAGGGATTAAGAGAACAGAGGCCTTGAAGTAAGGGTGAAGTAGGTGCTGGGCTTGTTGGGAAGTGGCCAAGGGAAATGTTCTGAACAGTTAGGGATGGAGCATGAGGCTGCCCCTAGAGGGTGCCTGAGTTGGGACCTGGAGCAGTGTACAGGCTGAGGTCCTCCCCGCTTAGCCACTGAGGGAAGTGACTGGGCAAATGGACTGCAGTGTACTGACCCCCAGAAGTGGGAGAAACAGACAGAGACATGGTTGAAGGACTGAGTCATGAAGAGCGTGTCGCGGTTCCTGGAGAGACTGCCAGTCGAGACAGAGCAATGGGGTACAAACTGTGGATGTGGGGCATTGTCCTTGAGCTAATACCCACAGCAACCAGGAGGAGGAGCCAGTCCAGCGGTGAGTGTTGTGCCTTGTGACAAGCCCAAAATATAACTTTTTATTTCAGAACACAATAAAAGGGTTTAGGTTAGGTGAGGAGATATAATTTGTATGGGATGATGAGAAGGCAGCATAAAGGCATAGCTGAAGTAGCCACATACCTTACCTGTTCCTTTCCAGATTCTCACTTTTGAGTTCTTTTTATTTTTGAGATAGAAGAATGATTATATGAAAATGGTAATACATTGTCTGGGTTGTAAGTAGACACCACAGTTACTGTGAAACTCATTGCCGCAGGATGTGGTTTGGGTTAAGATATTGGCAAGATTCAAAGAGGGATTGGGCACTTATATTGGTAACAAGAATATCCAGAGTTAAAAGAGTTAATGCTAACAAGAATAAGATTGGAAGAGTGACAAAAACACATTTCAGGTTTTAAACTAATCCCTAACTATTAGGGATTAGGATGAGACCTTCATGGGGGCAGACTATCCCACATCTGCCTACTGTGGGGTTTCTCGTATCTTCCTCTGAAGCATCTTGTGCCCACCAATGTTGGAGACAGGATAGTGAACTAGATAGACCTGATAATTGTGTTCTAGTTGATACATGCTTTCAATCTTAACTATCTTATAAAGCTTTTCTCTTTATTAACAACAAATTGAAAATGCCAATAAATGTTAAGGATTTCCATTTTGTAACACTAAATGGAACCTGGGCAATTATAAACAGATAACTAAAAGGAAATTTAAAATAACTGTATCTGCTGTAGATCAAACTGAACAAGTGCTCTGAGTTGCTATAATTACTGCTTCCCCATTATGTCTGTCTCACACTAAAAATGACATCGGAATACAGAAATATTGAGGAGTTTGATCTGACCTTTTAATTCAGAAGCTTTGGATGGGAGAGGTTGCTTGCTTGCTGGGGTAGAATAAATTGCATTTTTAGCACTGTGTGCCAAACCAAATTCCACATTTTCTGGAATCTGCCCAACACATACACTGTGGACTATCTTGCAGCATTTTTAATATGCTGCATGCATTCTCATTTAGTTGTCCTCCCTTTGTCCAGAGTTCATTCATGACAATACTGTGGAAGCAATGATGCACTATGCTCAATACAAATGCTTGTACAGAATCAGAGCAATTAGCAGAACTTTTTATTAATGGTCACTGACTTGCATTTTTTCACACTACTGAGCAGTAATTGAAAATTCCATGTTGCCCACAAATGCAAATTTGTTAAAGCAGTAACTACCCTTTCCTGCAGATACCATAGCATTTAACAGCACAGCATCTGCTGAAAGAGCCCAGTGTTTTTTCTTCTGCTACTTTGGAATAAACAAGTCTTTTATTTTTAAGTTACTTGCAAATATTTGTGCTCCTTTGTCAGGGAAGATCATTAATTCAAAGGGCTTGTATGGTGCAAAGAGCAAGGCTCAGTTCTTCAAAGTCTACATTCCAAAGTTTGCTAAAGAATTTTTGCAGTAACAAAGCTTCTGTGAATTAATGGCCTTTTTATTGCATTATGGAAGGGGCGTGTGCTAAAGAGTATATTCCACTAACCTATCCTAAGAAGGTTGAATCAATAAGTACTTTTTGTAAATATCTCTCTGGGAAGCAAAAGCAGGCATATCAGCCATCTCTGTCAGAGGCCAGAATCAAAGGTAGCATTCACAAGCTCCCCTTGGGAATAAGGGAAATACAGTTTGGACTGCATACTTGTTTATGTGACTTGCTCCCTGATGGGGAATAGTTCTGGAACTGGCAGTACCTGGTGCCTGTCCCAAGGTGGTCCCATTTCTAATGGCCAAGCAATCAATTTTGCACACACCTAAGCACTGTGTGATGTTCTTTGGAGCAAACCAGGTCTCTTTCTATTACTGACTAGAAATAAAGGTACATGAATAAAAATGAACATGTGGATGCTTTTGTCTTAACAATAGCACTGTTTGGATGGAATTAGAATCCAAAACACACACAAAAATGGAATGATCCCCTAGGGCAAAGCAATAACCTGGGCAGTCTGTTTCTGAGAGAGAGAATGCTTCTCATTTAATCAATAGAGAAACATTCCCCCACATAGTCATGTAATATCTGTTTATTGAAAAATAAATTGCATTTGTACTTTTATCATCACATCTAATTTAAAGTTTCTTGTCCTTTTTGACAATCTGGGGAAACTGCTTATTTACAACTTATGAATTCCACTTTGATTTTATGAACTGTCTGCATCTTTATATCTTGTTTCAGAGTAACAGCCGTGTTAGTCTGTATTGGCAAAAAGAAAAGGAGTACTTGTGGCACCTTAGAGACTAATCAATTTATTTGAGCATAAGCTTTCGTGAGCTACAGCTCACTTCATCTGAGCTGTAGCTCACGAAAGCTTATGCTCAAATAAATTGGTTAGTCTCTAAG